TTATAAGAGATTTGTATATATTTAGCTAATATTACACCTATTCTAGAAAACTCGAAGTTGGTGTGGTGACGTATGTAGTTTAGTTAGGCTGAGAAAAGTAAAACCCCTTCCCCCCCTCCCCCCCCTAAGAAAAGTAGCGCCGCAAAAAACGGGGCGAAGGCCTAAGTAATAAAACTTGTTCTGTAAAAGAATTCATTCGGGCACTTGTTTTTTTTTGTTGGTAGATAAAGTCAAAAACATGGAATGTGATTATTATTTGCTGGTGATTTCCAATTGTCGTTGTTGAAAGTGAGCAAAAAAAAAAAAACACTAGGGAAGAAAAGAAAAAAGCAAAATGGGTTCGTATATATATAAAAAAAAGCTTGGTACAAGAAGATTAAAAGGGCCCACATGCGAAGAGCAAGAGTGTGTGAGAGAGAGAAAGAAAATAACACGAACAAACACAAGTGCGGGCCCTTCCAAAACAGAAACCGGCCCTTTTCTTGTATTATATAGTACTTGGATACAAAGATATGCGCATTTTAGCCATTTTTTTTTAAAACATACACCTCGTGATGAGAAACGAAGAAGAGAGTCATGAAATCGACCCACCGCGCAGCCCTCATCCGGCGGCTCCCACACGAGCCGACAGCGCCCGTCGCAGCCGCTGCCCCTCCTCAAACCCCCTCCCTCCCCTTCCCCCCTTCCTTCCTATTCTGTTTGCTTCGAAAAAAAAACGACGATCATGATGCGTTTTGTAAGCCGGGGTGGGTGGGCGGTTCCGCCAGCACCAAAGTCGCGCAATCGCCAGATCGGCAACGAGTCAACCCAACCCTTCTACCCACAGACCTCTCTCTCCACTCTTATGCCAAGCCCCCCACTGACTCAATGCACACACGCAGAATGTACGAACGAGTCGAGCGGCGTGTATCGATGGGAGTGGTCGGTGTGTGGACCAGAGCGAGCGTGATTGCTACCGGTGGGGTTATTCAGGACGAGAGCAACAGCGTAAAAAAATGTGGGTATGTGGTTAGTCCTTTCGTCTAAAGAGCGATGAAACCAGGGGCCAAGGGGTGTGGAGAAGGAAGAGAGGGACGGGGGCAGTTGCAGATTGCTGGGATTATAGAAAAGGAAGGAAGAAAGGAAAGAAGGACTAAGGTTTGCAAATCTAGTATGGTCCTTCTGGGCGCGTGGGCGCGCCTGCGCGCGCCTGCGAAGAGGCAGCAAGATTTTGTGGGGGGATGGGGGAAAGGGTAATAGAAATGCATAACCCTTGGTGCGATAAGTTGGGGAGGGGGGGG